GTGGCAGGTGCACATGTGTGGCCTAGAGATGGTGGGGGCTCCCCACAGCCACTTCCTAGACATGCAAGATCTCTCCTGGATTAAACTTCCTCCACACTATCTCCTGGGTACTGGAGTCACCTGGCCCAGAAAGTGGGATCTGGTGTGACAATTCTATCCCAGTTACTTCCTATGGCAGCCACTTGACTCAGGGACACTCCCCCACCCTTGGGACATCCTTGCTGCCTCACCTCCAGGCCCTCTGTTATCACCTCTGTCCAATCTCCTCTTGCCCTACTCAGTGAGTCTGCTGCCTGGAAGGGGTCCCACCGCGGTGGAGCGCTGGCCTCTACTTTCATAAGCTCCTACTCCTCACGTGATTTTCTCAGTGCCCCTCCCTTGGGTCTAAGGACAGAAATCCCCACTCCCCTCCCCATGGATCCTCCCGACTTCAATAGCCCTTTCCTCACCCTGTCTCATTACACAGACTGGCAAGAGAGGAGTCGATGTGGGGGGTGGGGATACAGGGCTGGTTCTATCACCTTCTGGTAAGTCCTGGGAAAGGTGTCTGAGTTCAGGTGTCAGTGGTTTCCTTTAGAACTATGAGGTACTTAACACTTCTTTGACCTCAGCCGTAGGCCATAGTTAGCAGTGCTAAGACAACCAGAAAAGTCCTCTGTAACATCTCGTTATGCACAGAACTGAATACAGAGCTCCAGGTGTGATCTGACCCACTTAAGATGGCAGTGGGTCTGTTGTATAGCATAACTGGTACAGGAGACTTCTGTTACTGCAACTATATTGCATTAGCCCCATGTCTGGGCACTGATCTAAAGGAAGTACCCTCCATAGAGCAGACTTCCCAGCTGAGTTAGGGGTTTCCACCATGTTTGAACATTTCTAATGAAGCAGTGAGGTAGACAGCCTGCAAGTGTCTGCTTGGTTTGATGACTTGCACAGAGCATAAGGGGGATGTGGTACATGGGCTAGGAAGACGGCTCTGCTAGGAAGGGTCTAGAGTACAGAGACAGGAATGGAGAGAATAGCATGGTGCCCTCCCAACCTCACCCACCACGACAGCGGTCTGAGGCAGAAGGAAAGGAAGCCATCTCCACAGGGATGCTGGAGTCATAGGACCATAGAACCCAAGCATCACTGCTGGGGCACACATGTGGCTAAGTGTGACCCTGAACGGGGTGGGGGAATCTTCCTATTTCTGTGAGGACCATGGGGATTCTCTGGGTCTCCTGGTGAAGGTGGCTCTGGGACAGTAGGAGTATCCTCCTGACAGGGATGCCAGAGCAATGACAGTGACAATCAGTACACATTCATATTGGTGAACAATAGAGAGAGCCCAACTATCTAATGATAGAGCTCTGTTAAATATAGTTAATGGCATTATGTTGAACGAATGAAGCCAGATAGGAAAGAGGACAGCAACTGTGATTCCGTTTATATGAAGTTAAAGGACAGGCTCATTTAATCTAAATGAAGTCAGAGTGGCTCTTACCTCTGGCTGGGGCCAAGGACACCTTCTGGGGTGATAAGGATGCTCCTTATGGTCTTGAAGGGGTGGTGTCACATGGGTGTATGCATATCAAAACTCACCAACTGTATGACCAAGATCAGTGCACTCTGCTGCATGTAAGTTAGACCTCAATAAAGAAAACAACTAAAGAACTACACTTACAAAGAATTTTTAATAGCATGGGGAAATGCCTATACTGTAATCTTTAGCAAAAAAAAAAAGGAGCCACATACATAATGGTGTACATGTGTGAACAATTAATGAAAAAGTGTGCACAGGAAAAGTCGAGGCTGAGACAGATCATGTGTTAAAAGAGATTGTTTTGAGATTGTGAGAATATGCCTAATTTTTTTCTACTTGATATTTTTCTGTTTTTCCCAATTTCATACAGCAAGCATGTGTTGGTTTAATATTTAGCCATAATTTTTAAAAATAAAAGCCTCATTTTCCATTAATATTTTTATAGCCTATCTCACTGTTGACTGATATTGACCAAGAGTCAACTCGAGCCCCAGGTATTTTCAAAAGAACTGCTGTAAGGCAACATCTGAGCTTATCATGACCTTTGAACCCAAGAGGGAGAATCAACATTCTCCCTATCCTGTTGACGATGCTCTGAATATATGGTCCAGAGATGGTGTGCGCAAGGAGAGCAAAGCAACCCTTGGAACATGACTGTGGTGACTAGATGTGGAGCGACTGTTTGAAGACTGGCCAGTGCCCCCAAAAGGAGGGCAGACATGTGAAGCCCTCCACTATGGGCATTGGGTCTAGAGTGACTAACTGATCAAAAGATCATTTCTCATGGGAGTCTGAATGTAACTTATAAGAGAATGAGAGCCATGCAAACTGGGAGGGACAAAGTAGAAAGAGAAGCAGAGACCAAGAAACTAAGTTACAGAATGATAAACCGCTAGTTTGTTGTTGCTGTGTCCAGAACACTGTTTCATTAATATGCTGAAGAATTTCCCGTGGGTCCTGACTTCCTTGTGCATCCTTGGGATAAGCCCCTATCCCAAGAGGTGATGGGAATGCATCTCTCCACCAGAAACTGAAAAGGAGATAACACACCCTGCTAAGCTGTGTTTCTTGGTTTCAACCTGTGAATCCTCACCCTGTTTCCTCTCTACTGTGTATTTTTCAAACCAGCTTGGCCATGGAGTCATGTAGTAGTGAGGGTGGAAGCTGTCCCAGGTCTAGCACATCACTTGACAGATGAGGAAATGGAAGCTCAGAGGGAAGTATCTTGCCAAGGTCACACGGTGAGTCAGCGGCAGAGTCTGTGTGACTCCGAGCTGCTCCACTACCCCACATTGCCCTCTGGGGGTGAGCATGCCTGCTTATCCTCAGCCACCTCCGTGACAGACACAGAACACAAGATAAAGCCCTAGCTCTGCATGGTGAAAGTAAGAACCAACAATTGTCGCTTGTCACAAACAGAAATACAATGTTTGTTCAGCAGTATCTAAGAGTTCTGCACAAGTGCATCACCAGTGACCACAAAGCTATCCTTCAAAGAACCAAAACTGTATTGAGGTTACCAATTTTCTGTAAAATTTTATATCAGTGTATTTGTTACCTATTGTGTGAACTGAACTCTTTCCAAAGCACACTTTATACTTCTCTGCTTAAATAGCCCACTGAAGGCAGGTACCTAAAAGACTCTACATTCGTTATATCATTTAATTTTGACCACAGACCTATCGAGTGGGCTTGTATTGGGGGTTTTTTACATCCCCATTTTACAATAAGAAAACTAAGGTTTACAGAGATTCAATAACTTGTTCAGAGTCAAGCAGTAAATAACGAAGCTGGGGTTTAAACCCAGCATATGACTGCGGTTCTTAGTCATTGCCTTTCGAATTGCACATACAGGACGGATTCAGACATTTTCTCAATGATTCACGGTCTCTGTTATGATGTTCCCAGTTGCTGAGCTCTGTGTGATACAGACCCCCTACACAGGGGGGTTCCTGATTGTTGGGCTGTTTCTGTGCTTTTTTTTTTGGCTTTTCCCAAGCAGCCATTTCTTTCTATTCTTTAAGCACCAGTAATTAGTTTCACCTTTTCAGCTTCCAGTTTGCTGGTACTAATCTCTCTAGACAAGGACCCCAGGGAACGTATTTTGTTAGAATTTTATCACATAAACGCTCTCTGGGAAAGGATAGCTGAACAAGTAACTAAGAGTTTGACGTTCATTGAGAGCACAGTGTGTGCTAAATGCTAGCTATGGGTGCCTCATGCAGTGCTCCCAACAAACCCATGAAGGGATTGCTGTCCTTCAGCCCAGTGCAGGGCTGAGAAAGATGAGCGTAGAGACAGGCGTCAGGCTTGGCAGCCTAACTACAGAGGTGTCTTGCTTAGCCCTGTTTTAGCTGCCTCCACAAGTTGGGGACACACAATTTTGCTGTCTGGGGTCCCGTTTGCCTTCCTAGAGATCACAAGCAAAGCTTCCTATTCTACAGCTGAGGTAACGGAAGCCCAGTGGGGCTCTTGTGGCTCAGGCACAGCTCTCTGCTGTGCTCTCAGCTCTGTTGTCAATCGTTGAGGTTTTTAGATAAGTCGCCAACCACCAAGAGAGCTTGAGATGACTGCGTATAGTATTGTCATATAAGCCTGAACTTGGATATATACTTCTGTCCATTGTTGCCTGTTACACGTGGAAAATATCTCATAGCTCCAGGTAGATTGTATCCTTGGAGTAAAAAATTCTGCCACCTATATATCTCGGATAGTGTAGGTGCTCATAAATGCTGACAGGTTTGGAGGGCCACGAAATCGTGAATAGAGTGAAAATCCATAATGATATGTCCTCCAGATACCTAATCCAGGGAAAGATGGGAAAACTGTTTGGCTCACAGGTGAACCCATAGTTAAACCCTTTAGACAACCAGTTGTTTTAGCTTATAGAGAAAATAATATTGAGTGGTGAGCATATGTGTGTGAGTGTGGTGGGATGGGGGATGGGAGGAGAGTGGGTACAGGGGTGTGAGGGGCGAATGTGAAGTATAGGAGCCCCTCTGTGTTGAAACTTGATTTGAGTTGGCTTTGAGGGCAACTCTTGAGAGAGTCAGAATTTCCCACCCTTCTAGCCTTACCATTGATAAGCTCTGTGGTCTTGTAAAAATCATTTGCCTCTTGGACAGTAATTTCTTCTACTAAAATATGGGCTTTTGACTAGATAGATGTAAATGTTCTTCTAGCTCTAATATCCTTAATTTTTTCAGTTTTCTAACATCTGTACAATTGAATGAGCGGAGAATGAAAACAAAATAATCCAATGAGGAAAGCCCATGAATAAACTTTCAGACCAGAGATCTATTCTCTAGCCTATCTGAAGCACAACTTAAAAAAAAAAAAAAAAGAAGAACTGTTCTCTGGTTTTCTTTTCCCCTGCAATACACTTATTCATTAAACTCCGCCCTCCTTCAAAAGAAACTGTGCATTTCCTACTTTTATGCTTTCTGTATGTTTGATTTGCACAGCTCAGCTGGCCAGAGGAGATAAGACATCCGTTTCCCTACAAGAAACTCTCCCCGGTAAGTTATCTCTCAGCCACTTGGCTGATTAGTTAGCTCAGCTTCTGTGATGAGTAAAAGCCTGCAGGAAACCCATAGAAGGCATTTGACAAACGGCAGGTGCCCATGGAATTATCTTAAAATATAATCTTTAAGATAAGGAAAAGGTCAGAGTTTAGAATGAGCTTCAGACTGTTACAACATCAAAGATATAAAACACAATTGTGAGTGAAAGACTTTAAAGGGAACAATATTATCTTAAAAACAAAAGAACAATCTTCCCCTCTCAAAAGAAAGATTTTCAGAGAGATGAGTTTTGGCTGAAATCTTGGCAGAGATTATCTTCTGCTAAGGAGAACTAAAATCTCTCCAGTGGGTTGCTTCTGAACATATGCCCACGCCAAGTTGTGTCTAAGTCTGTTTCTCTTTTTTTCCCCCAGAAAAGAGGGAAGCCTAAACATTGTCCAAATTAATATCAAATTACAAACATCAAGTAAAATTTCACTCTAATATATCAGTTCCAAAGACATTTAGTATTTGATTCTTTATAGCTCAGAATTTAAAGGTGAGATTTTCTGGGTGTTTCTTCCAGCTGCCTAATCTTAGATGCAGAGAGTTTGAGACTCACAAGGATTCATTAGAGAAAATTCTCAGCTACAACAGTGGGACTTAAGTAGAGGAGGCAAGCCAGCTGGTCATAAGGGCTAAACGACATCTGCCTAATGGTGGCTAAGGAAACATTTTCTACTGGGCTGTTTCTTGTGTTTGTAGGAGAGCTCTTAATTGTGGCAGCTCAGGAACTACAAACACAAGCTTCAGAAAAAATGTGAGGATTTTACAATTAGCTGTTGGCATCAAGTCCCCCTCCTTGTGGGACTTGGGCATCAGTCCATTTCACTCTGACTACATCGGGCCACCAGGCTGATGGTCTTGCTCTTTGATTCTCTTACCAAGGAGTGAGAGACAGGATAGCATCGTGGTTAAGAGTGCAGGCTGCCTGCATTCAAAATCAGTTGCTTTCTAATGGTGTGGCTTTGGGCAAGTTACTCATCCTTTCTATGCCTCAGGGTCCTTGTGTGCAAAGTATGAACAATATTACCTGCCTCATAGGGTCACCTTGAGGATTAAATGAATGAATGGATATGAAGCTTAGGACAGTGGTTGGCTTGCAGTACATGCCCCTGTTAATTATCACTGGCTGGCTCATGGGGCATGCTCTTTGTGCGATAATTCCAGAGAATGGCAGCTTCAATACAGATTGTAAGACTGTGATTGCACTGTGCCTAACGCAGTTTCTTAAAATTGTTATCAAAGTTTCATTCATTCCATATCGCTATAGAAAACAAGATTTTATTTGGTGAGATGGTGCTTTCATGAATGTTCCCAACAGAGTCAAGCTCTCCATCTGATAGCAGAGGAGCTAGTAGCAAATCTTCTCTTTGCTACAAAAGTTCATTGTTTGGCTGACAGAGGAAGCTAAGTTAAATGTAGACATATATCTGTCAAATTAAAAACCCATTAAAGTATAAAACAGTTTGCATTCATGGCGGACCATGAGATACATTCTAGAACTTTATAAAAGATCACTTTTTCTTTGTTCACAGGGCTGAGCAAGATGGATTATCAAGTGTCAAGTCCGCTCTATGACATTGATTATGGTCTGTCAGAGCCCTGCCAGAAAAGCAACGTGAAGCAGATCGCAGCCCAGCTCCTGCCCCCACTCTACTCACTGGTGTTCATCTTCGGGCTTGTGGGCAACATGCTGGTCGTCCTCACGCTGATAAACTGCAAAAAGCTCAAGAGCATGACTGACATCTACCTGCTCAACTTGGCCATCTCTGACCTGCTCTTCCTGCTCACTGTCCCATTCTGGGCGCACTATGCTGCAGCCCAGTGGGACTTTGGAAATACCATGTGTCAGCTTTTGACGGGGCTCTATTTTATAGGCTTCTTCTCTGGAGTTTTCTTCATCATCCTCCTGACAATCGATAGATACCTGGCTATTGTACACGCTGTGTTTGCTTTAAAAGCCAGGACGGTCACTTTTGGGGTGGTGACAAGTGGAGTCACCTGGATAGTGGCTGTGTTAGCCTCTCTCCCAGGAATCATCTTTACCAGATCTCAAAAAGAAGGTCTTCGGTACACATGCAGCCTTCATTTTCCGCACAGTCAGTATCAGTTCTGGAAGAACTTTCAGACATTAAAGATGCTCGTCTTGGGCCTGGTCCTGCCACTGCTCGTCATGGTCATCTGCTACTCGGGAATCCTGAAAACCTTGCTTCGGTGTCGAAACGAGAAGAAGAGGCACAAGGCTGTGAGGCTCATCTTTGCCATCATGATTGTGTACTTCCTCTTCTGGGCGCCCTACAACATCGTCCTTTTGCTGAACACCTTCCCGGAATTCTTTGGCCTGAATAACTGCAGTAGCTCTAATGCGCTGGACCAAGCCATGCAGGTGACAGAGACTCTGGGGATGACACACTGCTGCATCAACCCTGTCATCTACGCCTTCGTCGGGGAGAAGTTCAGAAACTACCTCTTAGACTTCTTCCACAAGCACATTGCCAAACCTTTCTGCAAGTGCTGTCCGATCTTCCAGCGAGAGATCCCTGAGCGAGTAAGCTCAGTTTATACCCGATCCACTGGGGAGCAGGAAATATCTGTGGGCTTGTGACCTGGACTCAAGTTGGCTTATGACCTGTACCCAGTTGTGCACATGACTCAGTTTTTACACACATCCTGGGGTGGGAGAGGTTCTTTTAAAAAGGAAGTTTACTGTCATAGAGGGTCTAAGATTCATCCATCTATTTGGCAACTGAGTTAAGTATATTAGATCTTTTAAGTCTGTCAATTCTAGAAAGTCAAATCAAAATACGTTGATGAAATAGTAACCTTTTCGTCTCCCCTCCACCTACCTCAAGTTATTGGCAAATTCTCCCTTCACTGCAAAAGTTCATTATATATATAAAAAAAAATCCTTAGAGAATTCCTTATTTTTGAGTTTTGTTACCTGAATAGAAATAACAAAATTAATTGAGAAATGTATTATATAGCAAGGCAATCAATATACAAGTTGTAAATGTGCTTAAAACAGGTCTTTGTCTTACTATGGGAAAAAAGACATGAATGTGATTAGTTAAGAAATGACGTCTTTCACTTGTAATTTCCCCTCCAAGTTATATTTAATGAGTTTCACCCACTTTCAGGACCAGGCGAGAACTCTGTGGCCTGGAAGAGATGGGGAAGCTTCTTAAATGAGAAGGGATTTGAGTTGGGCCATCTGTTGGTGCAGGGAAGCGAAGCGTGCTTCAGGCTTCAGGCACCACGTGGGCAAAGCTTGGCTGTGGGAGGACACCGGGCTGGTTGGGAGAGATCCTGGGGAGAAAGGACAAGGCTGGATCATGAGGAACCTTGAGCAGCAACAGCCCTCAGGTAAGGGTGAGGATGGCTCTCACTGAGCTCCAGGCACTGAGAGTGGAAGGAGGGAGGTATTCGTGCAGCATATTTAGGATGCAAAGTCAGCAGAACTTGGGGTGGGCTTGGGTTGCAGGTGAGGGGCAGAGAGAACTCCTAGGCTTCCAGCAAGTAGGAGAAGCCCCTGAAGAGACATCAAGCCCTGGAGGAGGAAGAGGTTTAGGTCAAGAAGAAAATGGGTTGGTGTAGGAGGATGAGTCTGGTTTTCTGAGCTTGAACACAGCCTTACACAGACAAACTTCTGCTGTCTTTCACTGAAGGCTTCTGCCTTCAGCGTAGTCCTTTTCATCCCAGCTCGAATAGCAAGGGGTCACCAGGAGGCTTTGAAACACTAGATTTATGAATACATGAGCTTGAGGTCAAGGAACTTATTTCAGATCACATGTGAGATCTAGGTGAGGATTGACTACATAGTCTATTAAAATCCAGAGTTCTATAAGCATTGAGCAAAGAGGCCCCAAAGAGATGAGGGCAACCAGAAAGACTGGCGTGCTGCTGCCAGGGCACATCGCTGTGGGTTTTCTAGATTTAACTCTCAGTAGGCAAAGAGGGGAGGGAACACATTCATTTGGAAACAAGCTGCCTTGAGCTTTAAAACCCACAAAAAGTACAATTTACCAACCTCCACATTTCAGGCTGAGTGTGGGGGCTTTAGATACTCTTTCCGGATGCCTTCTCCAGACAAACTGTACCCAAACACTAAGGGATTTATTCATTTAAAAGAGAGAGTTAGGACTGTTTTGTGTGTGTGTGTGTGTGTGTGTGTGTGTGTGTTGCTTCTTATATGATTGTGTACATGCCTGAGATTGTTTTGAATTGGGGGCAGCTAAAGCCACTGCAGTACAGATTAGGTGAAGAGACAAAGTGGTGATCATCACTCAGGGAGCTCAGGTGTCAGAATGATAAGAGGTGTTACTCACTTTTCTCAAGCTCTGAATATGAAAGGTGAGCATTGTGGCTGCTGCCGGGAAGCGAACCGATGGAAGTGCCTTTCACTTTGTTGTCAAGGTCGTTGAGAGTGTGGGAGTAGCGTAGGCCCCTAGCCTCTGGATGTGGTCAAGGATATGCTGACATCTTGGTGGGTATTTGTGTATTCTTATGTATCTAGAAAGTTACAAATCGCTTGGAAGAAACTACACATCTAATAAAAACCACCTTCTAAAATAATTGGTTATATTCTTGTTCTTTCACTCAAGTGTACATTTAGAGAATAGCACATAAAACTGTCAAAGCATTTTATAAGTAGATATTTTGGAAAACTTCCATAGTGTGTGTGTGCGTGTGTGTGTGTGTGTGTGTGTGTGTGTGTGTGTGTGCGCGCATGCGCACCCATACGCGCACTCGTGCATATATAGAGAGAATTGTATTTTTGTATTTCCTTTTAAATAATTTAAAAGTTGACCTTCTTCCTGAGAAAATTGCCATAATAATTTGTATTTAAAGATGCTACATCTAAGAGTAGGGTTTCTGAGCAATTGATCTGAAAACTTTTCAATTTCAAATTTTAATTCTACTACTCAAACAAAATAATTGACATGTTTTAAAAGAGAGAATCAATGTTATAATCAGTCATCTATGTTTGAAAATGAAGAAGACTAGCAAAGTCATGGCCTGGTCATTTACCTGCAGTCCTGAGCTGCAGGCACGTGATGCGTGAGGATGACATTGCTTTTCTTTCATTTAAAATCCTGCCCCAAAATTTGCTTCTGATTGCAGCGGTGACAATGGTGTCCATTGGATTTCTGTGCATGTGTGCTTGTCCTGTGAGAGGACAAGTGCTCCAAGCACTCACACTCACAGTTTGGAACATGCTGGTTTCCAGCATGCTGTACGTTCACTTCCCAGAGTAGATCGTGGGCAGCAGACTCGAGAGCCTATGGGAGATCCATCCCACAGGGTGAAGGCAACGCCATGGGGTAGCAGGGAGATGTAGATTTTCATGGCTGATATGCATGCACGTGTTCCTTATCCCCTTTCCATCTTACTAAATGCATCCAACGTTAGCATGCAGAAAAGCTATCGGAAGTGTCAGCAGCTTTCCAAAGCTCATGCCGTCATCTCCCCAAGCCCACTCCTTTACCTCTTGGAATTTGATCTCATTATGACCTTCAGAATCTGATTCCATTCAGCATCCCCCAGGTGAAGGTAACCTACTGTCTCAACCCAGAGGCTCCTGTCAAATGGGGGGTTACACACATGCCAAGGAGAAATAATGTGCAAACTCGTACATTGGGATTCTATTCACATGTGTATTCCAGAGGCCCTTAGTTTAAACAGCTCTGACTAAATTAAAATGCATCAGTATTTCCACGTGACGGTTAAATTTACAAGTCATTTATTTTCTATCAGGGGAGAGACAGGCTCCCAAACATGAACGTAACTTTCAAGTGTTAACTCTTCTAATGAAGGCATAAGACTTACCACCAACTACCCTGGAGGCTAGAAGTTGGAAATGTGAGCATGAGTACGAAGTGGAAATGTGAACAAGTCATGAACTTTCTAACTGCTCTTTCTCTTAGTTTGCTAACATTCCCCACCCCTCAGGTGTTAGGGTAAACAGAAGAAGCAAAAACATGAAAGCATTTCCATAGCTCCTATGCTTTGAAATAAAATTCACTAAAAAAGTCTTGCTTGTATTTTTCTAAAA